CTTATTGCCAAATTCAGACTTAAATTGAAGAAAGTAGGGAAAACCTCTAGACCATTCAGGTATGACCTAAATCAAATCCCTTATGATTATACAGTGGAAGTGAGAAACAGATTAAAGGGATTAGATCTAACAGACAGAGTGCCTGAAGAACTACAGACAGAGGTTTGTGACATTGCACAGGAGGCAGTGATCAAGACCATCCCCAAGAAAAAGAAACGCAAAAAGGCAAAATGGTTGTCTGATGAGGCCTTACAAATAGTTGAGAAAAAAAGAGAAGCTATAGGCAAAGGAGAAAAGGAAAGATATACCCATTTGAATGCAGAGTTCCAAAGAATAGCAAGGAGAGATAAAAAAAGCCTTCCTCAGAGATCAATGCACAGAAATAGAGGAAAACAATAGAATTGGCAAGACTAGAGATCTCTTCAGAAAATTAGAGATACCAAGAGAACATTTCGTGCAAAGGTGAGCACAATAAAGGACAGAAATGGTAGGGACCTAACAGAAGCAGAAGATATTAAGAATAGGTGGCAAGAATACACCTAGGAACTATACCAAAAAGATCTTTAGGACCCAGATAACCATGATGGTGCAATCACTCACCTAGAGCCAGACATCCTGGAGTCTGAAGTCAAGTGGGCCTTAGGAAGCATCACTACAAACAAAGCTAGTGAAGGTGATGGAATTCCACTTAAACTATTTCAAATCCTAAAAGATAATGCTGTGAAAGTGTTTCACTCAATATGCCAGCAAATCTGGAAAACTCAGCAGTGGCCGCAGGACTGGAAAAAGTCAGTTTTCATTCCAATCCCAAAGAAAGGCAATGTCAAGGAATGTTCAAACTATCGAACAATTGCACTCATCTCATATGCTAGCAAAGTAATGCTGAAAATTCTCCAAGCCATGCTTCAACAGTATGTGAACTTCAACTTCCAGATGTTCAAGCTGGATTTAGAAAAGGCAGGAGAACCAGAGATCAAATTGTCAACATCTGCTGGATCATCGAAAAATCAAGAGTTTCAGAAAAACGTCTACTCTTGCTTTACTGACTACCTAAAGCTTTTGACTGTGTGGATCACCACAAACTGTGGAAAATTCTTCAAGAGATGGGAATACCAGACCACCTGACCTGCCTCCTGAGAAATCTGTATGCAGGTCAAGAAGCAACAGTTAGAACTGGACATGGAACAACAGACTGGTGCCAAATCAGGAAAGGAGTAAGTCAAGGCTGTATATTGTCACCCTGCTTATTTAAATTCTATGCAGAGTACATCATGAGAAATGCCAGGCTGGACAAAGCACAAGCTGGAATCAAGATTGCCGGGAAAAATATCAATAACCTCAGATACGTAGATGACACCACCCTTATGTCAGAAAGCAAAGAACTAAAGAGCCTCTTGATGAAAGTGAAAGAGGAGAGTGAAAAAGTTGGCTTAAAACTCAACATTCAGAAAACTAAGATCATGACATCCGGTCCCATCACTTCATGGCAAATAGATGGGGAAACAGTGAGAGACTTTATTGTTTTGGGCCCCACAAATCACTGCAGATGATGACGGCAGCCATGAAATTAAAACACACTTGCTTCCTTGGAAGAAAAGCTATGACCAACCTAGACAGCATATTAAAAAGCAGAGACATTACTTTACCAACAAAGGTCCATCTAGTCAAAGCTGTAGGTTTTCCAGTAGTCATGTATGGATGTGAGAGTTGGACTATAAAGAAAGCTGAGCGCCTAAGAATTGATGCTTTTGAACTGTGGTGTCGGAGAAGACACTTGAGAGTCCCTTGGACTGCAAGGAGATCCAACCAGTCAATCCTAAAGGAAATCAGTCCTGAATATTCATTGGAAGGACTGATGCTGAAGCTGAAACTCCAATACCTTGGCCACCTGATGTGAAGAACCAACTCATTGGAAAAGACCCTGATGCTGGGAAAGATTGAAGGCAGGAGGAGAAGGGGACAACAGAGGTTGAGATGGTTGGATGGCATCACTGACACAATGGTCATGAGTTTGAGTAAGCTCCAGGAGTTGGTGATGGACAGGGAAGCCTGGAGTGCTGCAGTCCATGGAGTCACAAAGAGTCAGACACAACTGAGTGATTGAACTGACTGACTCACTGAGTTGGAGAATATAATTACACTATAGGGATTTCTCTGGTGTTCCAGGGTCTAAGACTCCAAGCTACCAATACAAGGGGCCCAGGTTCAATCTCTGGTCGGGGAACTAGATCTCACAAGCCACAACTAAGACCTGGAGCAGTCAAATAAAGTGAAATAAAGTAAAAATTTAAAAATAAGCAAAACAAACTTTCTTGGAAAAAAAAGCCAAACCATACCTGAACTTAATCATACTCTCAGCCACTATTTTTAGCAGCTGTGGATGATTTTTCTGACGTCATTCCATCATCCCTTCTATATGTATTAACTGACATCTGCTGTAAAGAAAAACTTTCCCTTCACCCTTTTGTGTGTGTGTTTCCATGTATCAACAATTCTATCATCTCCGAGAACTCCTCTCCATAGCAACCCTACACTGATGAACATTAGCACAGACTCAACCATCCAGAAGCTTTCATCCTGGGGGCCTGCTTCCTCCAGGGAGTTGGAAAAACCCAGGACCAGGGAAGGTCACTAATGCAAGAACACGCTTTTACAGATAGCGCCATTGAGGCCGAAAAGAGAGGACGATGCCTGGAGTCGCACAGCCGCCAGCCAAGAGGAGGCTCTCCAGGGCAGAGCCCGGGCATCTGGCTGGCATCGTGTTTTAAGGGGCACCAGGGCAGAGCTAGAAGCTGCTCAGGATGTATTGCCCTCGACTTAGCAACAGGGCTCCCAGGTGTTGAGAGATGGAAACTCCCGGGTGGGGGCTTTCTGGGATTCTCCTCTGTGGCCTTAGGGCTGCGTCATAGACCCTTGATCTAGGATGCCCTCCAGCATGGGGTGTGTGGGGCTGGGTCAAGAGGAACCAAACCGGCACCTCAGCACCTACACTGAAGCACCAGCCGGAGAGTCCTGAGGAAGCATGCAAGCTCCTGGCTTAGAAAGTGAAAATCGCTCAGTATTGTCCGACTCTTTGCAACCCCACAGACTATACAGTCCATGGAATTCTCCAGGCCAGAATACTGGAGGGGGTAGTCTAGCCCTTCTTCAGGGTATCTTCCAGACCCAGGAATCAAACCAGGGTCTCCTGCATTGCAGGCGGATTCTTTACCAACTGAGCCACAGGGAAGCCCCTCCTGGCTTGGAACCAGCTGCTAGTTATCAGGAGCCCTTTTTGAGATGTGAGCCCAACCTACCTCCATTGGACATTCCAACCCCCTCACCCCCCCCAAAAAAATTCTGATAACGTTGTTGTTGTTGTTCAGTCGCTAAGCAGGCTCATTAAACACAAAGTCCTCAGGCTTCGCTTCCTCAACTAAAAATGGCAACAATAGATTTTATTATCTCGAGGTCCCTGCCCTGGCACTAGGATTCTGGAATCTAAAACTATTGTGTACTTGGGACCTTCCCAGTTTTAATGAATGCCGAATCCCTTACATAAAACCAAGAAATAATTAGCCCTGACAGTAGAAGCAGAAACAGAATCGTGATTCATGAATCTTCTAATTGTTCTTCCCTTCTGCACATTTTAACCTCCCCTCCCTAGTCTTAGAGTAACATATGTTCTACACACACACGGACAAATAGAATCACGCTGGCATAAATGAGCGTGATGGGGGGGGGTGGGGTGGCATTCTCAGGCAGCTGCTCCCCCGCTCCGCCTTTGGGTGTCTCTCTGCTCCGGGTACAGAAGCACAGAAGCCCGCCGCCTTGCTCCTCGGCACAAATGTGCTATAAAACACCCATCAATTCTCCTGACATTCCAGTGACCTTCGTGGGGTCTGGAAGAGCCACATTTCACACCAAAGATGGAGCTGTAAATATTCTCTCTGAGCAGTAAACACTGGGCTGACGCTGGCACCTCGCTCATGTCCTCTCTGTGTCTGCCACCTCGAAGAGGAGATTTATTTACTGCCATGGAAAATTCCAGCCTCAAGGCAGGCAGCTTGCACGACCCAGTGTCTCGGCATCTTGCTGCTTGCGGCTGCTGCCTGCTCTCTCTTACACACACACACACACACACACACACACACACACACACACACACACACACTCATATAATTATAAAGCTGGGAGCAGGAAAGCCCCTGAGAAAATCACACTAAAACGCACACCCCCATCTTATCAGTTCTTTCTGGGAGGTGAGGTTTAGAATGATTTACATTTAATTTCTTTTGCTTTCTGCTCAGCTGAATTTTATTTTGCCTTACGGAATACTTACTTTTTAAAATAAAATATTTATTTAAAGGCAATAGTCTCTCACTCTTGACCCATCTAGGGTTATCCTCCTTTCTTGGATGGGGAGATGGCACACCTCCAGGGGCAGAAGGGCAGAGGGGAGACCTGGTGGGCTCTTGATGTAGCCATCCACTCCTACAGCTGAAAAGCACCTTACGGTTTTCAAAATAATTTCATGGGGCAGCTGAGAAAATCATCTGTGCTCCTAGCTCAGTGTGGGCAGAGAGAGCCGGACAGATGGCTGGACCCAGTCCTGTCTCTCGTCCGTTCTCAGAAATCAAATCCCCAAAGGGCAGGGATTCACTCCACCTGCCCCAGCCACCCCCATTGCAGACATAGGGGGGTGAGTGGGGGTGAACAGAGGCTCCCCACCCACCTCGCAGGTGTTGTTCCCCACCCCTCCCCACCCCCGATTTATTTCTGCAATTGTGATGAAGGCCCTGATGGAGAGGCCCTGAATTGTTTGTTCAATTCATTGATTAGCTATCTCTCAAGTTCATTGCCATCCCAAGGCAGGAGACGGGGAATTGGGTTTCCGTGATTTCTCAAGGCTTTGGCTGCTTCCGATGATTAAATGCAGCCACAACACATCCATCCTGGGTGGCGGCTCTGCCCAAGGTCAAACCTTCATGGAAAACAGGAGCTGAGATCTGCATGTCTAAATGCCAGGCGGGAAGGAAGGCCTGAAAGAGAATTTTGAAAACCAGGAAAGGCGGCAGGCAAGAAGGGAGGAAAATAAAGGGCTTCCGGAGGTAAAGGAAGGAAGAAAAGAAAGGGCCCCATAGGAGAGATTCTTGCAGGGGGACGCTCAGCTGGAAAACCTGGGGAGCCCCGCCTCCCGATCCCCGAAGGCTACAAAGTGGGATTACAGAAGCCTGAGCATCTGAACGGGTAACAAGCCAAGTGAAGTGTGAAAGTTGCTCAGTTGTGTCCGACTCTTCGCAACCCCATGGACTGTTGCCCTCCAGGCACCTCCGTCCATGGAGGTCTCCAGGCAAGAATACTGGAGTGGGTTGCCATTCCCTTCTCCAGAGGATCTTTCCGACCCAGGGCTCGAACACGGGTCTCCTGCATCGCAGGCAGATTCTTTACCGACAGACCCACTAGGGAACCCCATTACAACGATACTCTGCAATAAAAGTCTTGCGTGCGGTCTCTCTCTCTCAACATGTCTCACTGTACAAAGTCAGTGTGTTCGGTGTCTTAACTAAGCGCTTATACTGCACTGCGGTGGTAACGTTTGCAGTTCGAGGTGTGACAGCACAAATCTCTTCTCCCTTCACAATTTCACAGGTAGAAGATTGTGCAGCCTAAGCTACAATGTTTTCCCTTCCTTATTGACTTGAGAACTTTTTACCATTTCACTTAAAGGAAGCATTTTATGTTTCTATCCAAATTGTCAGCCTCGCTACATCCTGGGCTTTGGGGCCATTATTGAGTAAAATCAGGGTCACCCAAACCTTGGCTAATGAATCATGGCTCTTTTTTTTGAAAATCCGTGTTTCTTCTTTTTCTATATTTTTCAAAATATCTGCCATGAGGAGGCGTCTTCTTTAAAATCAGAGTCACAAAAGTTTGACTTTGTTTCCCTTTTTTATATATAAAATTAGTAAAGGAAATGCCACTTTTACTGGTCACTTCTGAGGGAAAGAGCTTCCCTCGGGAAACATCAGACTGTAAGCAGAAGGCTCACATCTCTCTCTGCAGGGTTTTAATTACAAGCCTCTGTCTGTCGTCTGGCTGTCTGTCTCACTGCCACATATAGGCCCCACTCCCTGCTGCAACAGGTGAGCTTGAATCACTGTGCCGCTAAGTCTATAAAGGTATCTATAATACCTTTATAGATCATAAAGGACTCCGCAGCAGTCCCTAAAGATAAAATTCAAGTGTGTTTCCCTACAAAAGAGAGCCTGTCACCCAAAAGGGGCCCACTACTCCCGGGTCCACTCTTAGCCCCTGTGTTCCCATGTCTCCTGCACCCCAGAGGACCTGGGGACCCCTGCCCCTTAAAGCTTTTCCTCTGTGGTTGGACCTAGGCCCGACAGGGGGACAGTGCCCAGAGCAGGTGGCCCGTGGGGCTCACACGGCCCCCAGGGGTGGCGCCAGCAGCTCTGATGACCCCTCAGAAAGAACGTCCCCTAACCAACCAGAAAAGGTTGCCCCCTTGTCTTTCCCCCCTCGCCCAACCAGCACCAAGCCTCAGCTGCCCCAAGCCCACTCTTGGCATCTGTAATGAAAACGGTTTCCACACTCTGATTCTCATCTCTGGGGTGTCACTTTGACGCCATGCACCCCAAGATACCACAGAGGCAGGACCAGTTCTTCCCTTATGGCATCAGTGCCTCTTGGATCCTCGATGACCCTGCTCCCACCTTCCTGGGGCTCAAAGGCCTGCAGAACTTGAACTCGTGGGAAGGTGATGTGTTGGAGGTCAGCGTTACTTCTCAAAGCTATAAAAACCCCAGAGGAAATGGTAAACCAGCCATGGAGTTACAATGGCCTCAGATAGCACCACTGGGCAGGGGTCGGGGTGGATGGGAGGCCTTGGCACCCAGAGGCCTGGAGGGAAAGAAGAGACAAGGTTTTGGAGAAATAGGCTGCAAAGCTGCTCTGAACCCTTTCACTCCCTTTCAAGGAGGAAAACGCAGGCTAGGAACGTCCCTGGCGGCCCAGGGTGGTTAAGAATCTGCCTTCCAATGCTGAGGACACTGCAGTTTGATTCCTGGTTGGGGAAACTAAGATCACACAGGCTGTGGAGCAATAAAGCCCATGTGCCACGGCTACTGGGCCCACGTGCTCTGGAGCCCACGTGCTACAACTGGAGAGAAGCCCTGTGCACTGCAACTAAGGCCCGACACAGCCGAATAAATAAGCACTTTTTTTAAAAAACAAAAGAAACTTTAGGCTTAAAGAGCACTCCACAGGGCTGAGCTGCTGGCGTGGGGCTCCGCGCTCCCACCAGCCCCTTCCTGCCCTGACCCCCGGGCGTGGCAGCATCAAACAAGGCCTCTACCATCGCCACCAAAGAGAACATGTGCTGGGTGTGACTGTTTGTCACCGCGATGGAGTGTATGACGTGAACCATGGCAAACACCGTAATGACTAATTTCAAACATTTATTACAATTCTTGAGAGACTCGAAAGCTGTCCCCGCTCTTGATTTTAATAAATGCGGTCTTGAAGCAGCCGCTTATCAAAGTGACACAAATTGTGTGGTAAATAGATTATGGCACGGCTGAAATACTGGAAAATGAGATCAGAAACGCTCCTTCTCTCCCGTTTAAAGCTCCACGCAATCCTTCAGCCCTGAGACGCTGCAGCGAGGCGGCCACAGGAAGCGTGGAGGTGAGAGAATTAGCACCCGGCGAGGCGGCTTTTAATCGGCTTCTCCCCCACGTCCTCCCCAGCAGCAGGACGCTGGGCGGCCCGGCTCCGCGTCAGCCGCCCCAGCCGGTCCTGCCCCAGCCCGTGGGGACAGGTCCCGGGATAGGGGGTGGAGACCCGCTTCGGGGATGGAGGGGGATGCAGGAGGGCAGGCCGCGGGCACTGCCTCCCAGGGACGCTGTGATAAAGAATGCCACCCCCCCTCCCTGCACAGCTACCTTTCAAGCTCCACTGCTGATGAACTCCTGAGCGCTTACTGTGTGCCGGGCATCGTGCTAAGGGTCGGGCATGCAAAAGCGGGCCAGGTCAGGCAGGTGCCCTCAGGGGACTTCCTGTAAGAAGGCCAACAGGCAGGCAGGCTGTGAGATCAGAGGGCAGTGCACACCCCACGCCAGCTGGGCCACCGGATGCCAGGAGCTCCTGGGGCAGCTCTGCCTCCGCTCGGCTGCCGCTGACCCGGCGCTGTGGGCGTGCCCTGGCCAGGACCCTGCCCTGCCCGGGACTCTGGGCACCCGTATCCTGCTGCCTCGCTCTTCCTCTGAAGATGGAATGACCAGGGAAAGCCCTGTGCATCTTTCAGGGGCAGGAAACCCCCTGAACCAAGGGATGGCGAGGAGCCCCAGGTGCCCACAGGGCCGGCCCACCTCACGTGGTTCCCTCCTAAGGGTGAGACATACCCTTAGAGCAGTCCCATGGGTGATTACTTGGCTCCTTATCCCTGTGAAAAGCAAATGTCCCTGAGGAGACACTCAAGACCTCGTTCACCCGAGGACAGTGATGGGGGACAGAGTCAGCCCGCTTTACAGAACTTCCATGTCAAACTCAGAGGGGGAACAGCCCCCCCAGAACCCCGATGGGAACTAGTTGCCTGTATAACCAGACACATCCCATGTATTAGTGCTAATTAATATTCAAATAAAAAGGGGAGTGTGTCTATGTATGTGCAGTTCCATTTCCCTACAGAAAACCCCCTTCTTAGGGCTTCCCTGGGGGTCCGGTGTTTAAGATTTTGCCTTCCAACTTAAGAGTTGTGGGTTTGATCCCTGATCAGGAAGATAAGATCTCACACGCCTCATGGTCAAAAGCCCACAACATAAGACAGAAGCCATGTTGTAACAAATTCAATAAAGACTTTTAAAATGGTCCACGTTTTTAAAAAAAAGTCTCCTTCTTGAAACAGGCTACTTCTACTCCCAGGAGGTAGTCCACTTTGCAGGCAGCTACCAGTGGGGAAATTGCAAGAGAGGGGTCCTGGGGGCAATGGGGCCACTTGGAATGGGTTGGAGTCTGAGGTAGGTGAGGCGGTGACCCCCCAATCTCTTGGTTTCTCCTCCTCTACGTCAGTGGCTTGAGGACACAGAGATGCATCCCTGTGCTGACATAGAACAGAGGCTGGGCTTTCCATGAGGATGTCTTCAGGGTCTCATGGCTCCGAGGAATAATTCTTACCTGTTTTATGTTTTTAAATAGACATTGAATTAAGAAATTAAATAGTTTGTATATTTAAGCCCCAGTTAATAGATATTAAATTTTATTATTTATTAAATATTAATATTTCATGAGGATTTTCAAATTAAACATCGAGCCTCTAACAAATTAAATTTAAATAATTAAGTCCATTATTAGTGGAGAGAGACTGCCAGAACGGGGGGTGGGGGAAAATGTGTTACAGAAACTAATTTTTTTTTTTTTTGTCGAAAAGGCAGAGCATTTTATTATGTCCATTTTGTAGATGGGGAGAGAGAGATGCAGGAAGTTAAAGGATTTGACTCCCCGCCCCAGAACACACAGCTGATAACATTTCTGAGCTGGGACTCAAGCCTGCATCTGTTTATTTCCTAGATCCAGCCCCCTGTTTGGAATGGACAAAACATGTTTCCCTTTCCTGACATGAGAACTGAATGATTTCTTGGGCTAGAGAAGGGATGGGATGTTAAATATATTAATTCTATCGGAGAGAAGGATGTGAGGAAACGGGCGATGCTAAGGGGAGACTCAGGTGGGGTGTCAACCAGGGAGGAAGGGGGCACTGAACAGCCGAGGAAGGGGGCACTGAACAGCCGAGGAAGGGGTGGGGCGGAGGGGCAGGGAGAGTCGGGCTGCTGCAAACGCCCCAGGAGGCTGGCACGTGCCACGAGTCCACCCTCTCCAAGCCCACAGCAACCTGAGATAGCAGTCCCCCCAGCACCCACCACCCCCACCCCCGATTCCTCATCCAATTCCTGGAACCTGAGAATGTTACCTTATTTGGAGAAAAATGTCTTTGCAGGTGTAATCAAGTTAAGGATCTCAGATGAGACCATCAGGGATTATCTGAGTGGTCCCTAAACCCAATGAAAAGTGTCCTAATAAGAAACAGAGGAAGAGGGAAACAGAGAGATGAAGGTCATGCAAAGACAGAGACAGAGACTGAGTAGTCGCAGCCACAAGCCCAGCAAAGTCACAGGCCACCAGAAGCTGGAAGAGGCCAGAAATAGAACTTTCCAAGAGCCTCTGGAGGGAGGCCGGCCCTGCAGATGCCTTGATACCAGGCTTCCGGTCTCCAGGACTGTGAGCAGACACTTGTGCTGTCTTAAACCAGCTAGTTCATGGTCATTGTTGCAGCAGCCACAGGAAACTACTATAGCTCCAAGGAACTCCCCTGTCCCCTCTAAGTGACAAGGTCATGGAAGGATGCCGCAGGCAGGGTCTGCCCCGCCCCCGGTTATGCCAGACCCTGCTGGTCACCTTCCTCTGCAAAACCATTCAACACCTGCCCTTGGGGGGCTCACCACTCAATCTGGCGGGAGGGAGGGTGGACGTGCAGTGGAGGAGGGACCCCCATTCCATCTCTTGGGCTCAGCCCCAGGGGAGTAGAGAGCCAGTGACCTTGAGGACAAATGCAGACAGGCTCTGATCTTTTTCCATTCTAAACATGGAATCCAAATGTACAAGAAGATGGGTTGGTCATGGTTGGTCTAATTATGAGATAATCTTTTGATTTACAACCAGCCTCTTCTAAATGGAAAACCTCTTTTCCCGTATCATTTGATTTGTATCTATTGCTAGAATCTCTTACTCCTGATACAGTTTCACCTCTTGGGGAGCGACCCCCCAGTTGTATTTCTCTCCCTGGTTTCCCCAGGCTGAAGAGCTCCCGTTGGAAGTCACATCTGCCCTCGGGTCCTCTCTCCTCCTCCCAACAACTGTCCCCATCTGTCCTACTCTAGGGATGCCAGTCTCGTGCTCAAAACCCCCAACTCCCTGCTGCCTACCAAACTGAGCCCTGACTCAGCCACCCAAACTGCAAGGCTATCCATATGCGACCCGAACAGCCCTCCTGGTCTTTTCTCCAGCTGCCCATGTTGACGCGGAGCCCCGGGCACAGTGAAAGCAGAGAGAAGAAACAGGCAGCTGCTGGGACAGGCATGCAAGCCATCGGATATCAGCCAGGGCTCTCCAGAGAGAGGTTTATTTTAAGGAACTGGTTCAGGCGACTGTGGTGCTGGCAAGTCTAAACTCCACAGGGCAGGCCTGTGAGCCCTCTGGCCGGAGGGGCTGCTGCAGTCTGGAGCGGGACTCTGCCCTCCCTGGGAATCCTCGATTTTTGCTCTTGAGGCCTTTGACTGATTGGATGAGACCCACCCGCATCATGGCGGGTGGTCTCTTTTTCTTGAAGTCAGCTGATTGGACATGCTTACCGCATCTACAGCCTGCCTCCACAGCAATACCTTGATTCACGTTTGATTACCTAAACTGAGTACTGCAACCTGGCCATACACAACTAAACACCCCATTGTGAGTTAGAGACGCTGCGTACAGGAGAACTGGAGGATCTGTAAAGCGTGGCTGGGGGTTGGGAAATGGATCCCCCATGATCCCTCCTGGCTGTCGGATCCAGACTCTCTGAGTGTCTGGAGACTGGGTCCCGGGGCCCTGGCTTCTGTTCAGAGACCTGCCCTCGTGGGATGAGGGCTGACTGGAGGGTCCAGCTTGCTGCCACCCCCTCTTGGCACCTCAACCTCCTATATTCCCCACACTGGCTCAGGGGTAGCCCACAGCTAGAGGGTAGGCTTCCGGGGGGACCAGCTCATGCCTGGAAAGACAGGAGAGCCACAGGAAAAGCCTTCTTCTTCTGTACTGTCCTAAACCTGAGTCTGCCTAGGACTTTAAGTTGGGAAGGATTGAGCGCCAGATCCAGGCTGGGCTCAGTTCTCTGCAGATATCAGATCAGGGTTGAAAGCTTCCTCTTCCTGGCTCCTTTCTTCCCTCCAGGGCTGCAGACGTGAGCGATTTGCGTCCACAGGTAGCCACCTCCCCTTACCTCCACGGGAGCCCCTGTGCGGTCAATAAGGCCTCAAACGAGACACTTACAAGTTCAAAGACAAAACTCACAGCCTCTACCCCCACCTCCCACTCCCCAGATAAGAGTCTGGTGAGCACCACGGTCTGGGTCCCAGGACATCTTTGGCTACTTCCCACCAAGAAGATAACTCAAGGTGGTGTCAGGATCCGGCTGGCAAAGACAGCCATCTAACGTGATCATCTTTGACCCTTTCTCTGCCCTCGCCCACTTCCACTTCCTCTTCTTGCTATTTAATCGCCTCTGCCTGGGGACCCCATGATTTCTTTCCCACCCCTGACCTGTGTTTGAGGCCAGGCTGGGTAGAGCCTGGGGAGACTTTGGTATTATGATGGAGATGCTCACATGGGTTTGTCACCATGGCAACCTGCTCGGCTGAGCAGGGAGGCAGAGCAGGCTGCAGGTCTGAATTCTCCGCGCTGTGCGGTGGATTGCTGCTGCTGATTACTCAGGAACTTCTCTTGCGGGGGAAAGTCGGTGGGGGAGAGCCCCCAAGAAGGAGCTGCCTTGCCAACCTGACTCAGCTTGGGTCTGGTCCTAGCCCCAGGCAGGGTATGCATTCCATGACCTCTCAAGGTTGAGATCAACCAGCTGGAGGAAACTCAGTCTCTAAAACAACTCTCATCCCCCAAGAGAAACAGGGATTCCCCTTCCAGGCTCTGGAACAGCTCAGTCCCCAAGGATGCAAGAGGGGCACAGAGAGGCCAGAGATAGGCTGCTCGATCCAACACCAGACATCTGGGAAGAAGGGCCCCACCCTGTCATTTCCCAATCACTCTTCGGCTGCCTCCCAGTTCAGAGGGGAGGGCCAGCAGGACTGTGATGGCTTCTGCCTCCTGCAGCCATGTCCACACGCCTCCACTTCCTTACCTGTGCTGCTGATCAGCCTGACTGGCACCTGCGTGGCAGCGGCCTGCTCTCTGGGGCAGGATGGTGTCATGTCATTTCCATCCACCACCCTGCAATCCTGCACTGCTACACTGATTCTCCGACTTT